CTTTGTTTTCTTTTCTTCGCATTCGATGATATCCACTACTGGGAGATGTGACAAAGTGATTTGTGAGCCAGGGCTTGCACAGAGACCGCAGGGAGGTGTGACTGTCAGGCGCGATTTTGTTTATGGTGTTCTTGAGGGCTCTTGTTTCTTTTTTCCTTCATTGAGGAATTACTTATCAGCTACTGTTTCATAATTGATCAGCAATTATCCTTGACACTTTTATCGCGGGAGCTGTCTTTAAGCTGAAGCGCGACAAGTCTGAACGCTGACTAATGTCGCAGCTACCGCTACAATCCATCCAAATTATTCCAGCTCAATAAAATTTCACGATTCCGAGTAAATATGTAGTACAAGGGGCCTCATTTTGGCCCTTATGGTAAAGCATCAGCGTTCGTCAGTAATCAGGGAACGACGACAGTCTGTGCAATTAACAAGTTTTAAAGCAAATAATGTTCCAAATTGCCCTTCCTTTGTTTTGCCGTTGAAGCAGGGGCAGCTGCTGCTGCGACTCGACGAGAAGGAACGACTTTGTTAGGGATAAAAATAACCTGTAAACAACATCTCGACCCAGAAGTACGGTCGCGTGCTGGGTGTCTTCCCTGATCATGAAATAATAAGTCTTGAAGGGCTCTGTATCGACAGGGTTTCTCTGTTATATCGTGACTTATTCTAGGCTCTACTAATGAGCAGCAGTCGTCTCGTGATTCAGTTCGGTTTGAGTGGCTTCCTTCACTCGTATGCATCGATAACACTCGAATTACAATTGTCATCCGGGCACTTGATTATGCGGCCAGTCGTCATCCAGGCACTCTATTAGGCATTGTTCACAGTCTGCGACCCTGACGAAACGGCGGTTGGGAGAAAAGCAAAAAATAGTCATCGATCGGAGAATCGCCAACCGCGTTCGGCGGTTGGGCGAAAAGCAATAGATGTGTATCGATTTCGCTGGCGAAAAACGCCACGGCGATCGAGCTAGCGTTTCGTCGAAGGCGAAAAACGTCGCGGTTTGGCGAAACGCCCGTCGATTCGTATCAAAACCCTTTCGCCCAACCGCCAGACTCTTCGCCCAACCGCCAGTCGATACGTATCGAAAGCTTTTCGCCGAACCGCCGCGTTCCAGAGAAACGCTGGACCGCAGAGTGTGAACAATGCCTAGGCGGCCAAACGACGCGGCTGCGGCGCGTCACGACCGCGGCGATCAGCTGTTTCCAGCCTGGTTTGGCCATTTTCTCCCTAATTTTCACTGTATTTTCTATTTTTTTTAAGGTAAGTTGTGTTATTGTCTTTATGAAGTATATTAGACGTGGAGCTTTTGCGATTTTTTGGGAACTTGTTTAATCGCTTGTTTAATTATCTAATTGTTCGCAAAAATTAGAGAAATCTCAATCATAATTTCTGAAAAATCCTTTTGAAGACAAGCAACAACCAACCTTCAAAAAAAGCAGTGAAAATAGGGAGAAAATGGCTAAATAGGCTGGAAACAGCTGATCGCCGCGGTCGTGACGCGCCGCAGCCGCGTCTGCGACCCTTTGACCGCCTAATCAACTGCCCGGATGACGACTGTACGACGGTCGCAGCGCGCCATCGCAAAGTCTGAACGCTGCCCCAAGAAGGGTTTGATCTTGTCACGCTCGTCACAAGGGTTTTCGCATTGCATGCAAGATATTCATGTTCAGCGTGTCGAACTACCTATGGAGGCGAATTCCTAGCCAAACCGGAAATTTTGACTTAATTCTGAAAAAGGGGTGGGTTTCCACTGGTGAATACCAGCATCCTGGAACTCAGTACCATCGATGATTTCCGGGTAGCGATTACCTCCCGATCATCAGAAAAATGATGCGGATGATTCAAACACGTGAGCCAGATATTGCTCGTATCGGAAAGACATGACTGAAGAGATAAGTTAGTTGCTCAGTATAAAGGCACCACGACATTGGTGATGGGTGACCTAGTGCCTGTGGTAGCTGCTATTCTTCCATCCACTTTTTCGAAGTTGAGTAACAATTTCGAATTTCGCTAGAGTGCCGTCCGTATCGGTTTTGTGACCCCTGAACACGAACATCACACCTCCTTTTGAGCAAAAGGAGTTCTGTTCGCGCACTATAGGTGCCGCAGCGATTTCAACATGAACGGTAGAGAAAACCTCATAACTCCTTCCCGAAAATCGTATCGCAAACTTTTGAAGGTAGGTTTTAGTTTACTCTCTCAAGGCGGGTGCAGTGGTGTACAGTCATCATTCCTGCAAACGATAGGGCATGTGATACGGTGCGCATTGGAGCGCCGCAAGGGTGCCCTTCTCCACCAGTGATGTCATCCTGAGCGCTCTACAACTACTGGGAGATCTGGCTGTGCTCCAAACCATGCTCCGTCAGATACACTATCGTTTGGAGAGATCATGACTGTGGTCGCGAGGAGGGGGACGTACTGGAGGAGAAAATTTGGGTGGAAGGAGGAGGAGCGGGAGGGCCTCACCCAGCGAAACTCCTCCGGGACGCTACCAGGATATGCCCTGCCCTATATGCAGCACACGCTGAAGCACGCGTACATAAGAAGCTCATCCAAGTGAGCGAGGCGAGCTCATTACCAGTGGGCCGTGATTCCCACCTTTCGCAGGCAGCTATTCGCGATTTTGACTGGAAACCAACACAGTATCCTCAGCTCATATGAAACCTTCCCTCATAAGTCCATACACGAGCTCATCCTTTGCAAGGATGCCCCCCTCCACTTCCAGCGAAACCAGCAAGAGTGTTTTCATGCTTTGCGTCAGCGTTTCAAGCGTACGGCAGCATTTAGAGCTATTAGAAAAGTAAAGGTTACGCTGCCGTACGCTCAAAACGTTGACGCAAGTATGAACGCACTCTAAGCGATCATTGGAAATACCACGATCAAAAGCGAGAAAAAAGGATTAGTAAATTTATTGCATAAATTACTACAGCAATATATGAAACTATACTACTAAGAGGGGCCAAAGCACGGAACCTCGCCCGTACACGAAATTCTAGCCTAATGCACTGCCACCCATTGACACATTTTACGTTTTTGTTGGCAGAGTTCGTTGCACACTCTTATACCACAGGTCATTTTCGAATCCAATGCGAAGAACTTCATGGATCTCTTCTTCAAGGCCTTTCATAACCAAAAAGTAGAGAAACGAAGGAGAAGGGAGCAGCATGGAATAATCAGAATGACTACCGCAACCTGAACATGGTAGAGGACACAGAATTCACATCGTTACAAAAATGTACAGTCACATATTTAATGTGCACATAAAACAGTGGTGGCGCTCAGACATAACCCTTTGAATGGTCCTTTCTTGACGCCTGTGCCGCTTGCTTGATCAATCGACGCAACGCTGGCTCATGCTTCTAAAAATTGTGCGTACTCCTACAAGTTGCTAGCTACAAGACGGTCCACTTAATGAGGCCAAAGTGCGGCTTGGTAGGGACATTTTGCAGTTCCACTAGTTCCTTTTGGTGTATTACCTTTAGCTTTGGCGAACCTGTAGGCTCCTGTCAAGGGTATCGAAGCTTCTGCTATTGCACAGCCTGACAGGAACTCACGAGTCCTGCGGGAGGCAATGGCAGTGATCAGTGGCAGCCAGCAAAATGTCCCCGCCAAACCGCACCCAAAGTTCTTCTGAAACCTTCTCCCTTAGTTCCTCCATATCTCAGGGATGGGGAGTCCGCGGCTGTGTAATTCATTTAAACGTGCCAGTAGGTGCGCTTCTGTAGGGATATTGAAAATTTAGAGTAGTCGTATTCATGTCTCTATCCAGTATAGGACACATTAATACTTGTATCGAATGGAAACATCCCACAAACAACGCGTCCTACGCCACATTCACGTGAAGTACTCAGCCACGCCCTTTCTATCACTGGGAATTGGCCTTTATGATGGCGAGTCATTCAAATATGCACTGTAGAAGCTCACCGTGAGAGCGGCATGAAGTTTGTGAGCTTCGATTCGTTCCTGCTGATCAGCACTAGTTGCCGCCGCAGTACGAGTTCGTTCAAGCAATACCATAATTCGAGGATGCAAACGGATAAGCTGAAGAGAGACAGGGGCATACCTTACACCTAGTAATCAATCCTGCAAACGAGAGGGTGTTCATGGGAGGGGGGGGAGCGCAACCAGGCAACCTTTTCCACCGATTGTTGCAGGCTCTGTATGGCATAAAATGTGGAAAAGGTCGTCCTGGCTGCACTCATATTCATCCCCCTCACACGCCCTCTCGTTTGCAGGGATAATGACTGTGCTACATGTTATATCCAGCTTACCTCTACCGGTGATGCGAACTCTAGAAGAGTTGTAATAGTTCCATAAATCATCGAGTAACTGGACGACGGTTCGTCGAATATCCGCTTGACGGCACGAAACGATCGTCGTCTAGTCTCTTTAGTTCCATGATCTCTGAAAAAGTACAACTAATCCATGGAGACACTTTCACACTCCAAATCATTTTTTTCCACGATAATGCTACCACTTACTTTATTATAGTGATTAAAGTCTTGCCAGCAAAATCACGCAGTGCCCAATGATTGTCAGAATCAGGTCGAGTGCACAAAACTCTGCCCAACATGCAGCTCATCAGAGACGGTAAGAACTCATGAAGCTGTAAAAAATAGGTCCATCACTAAGAACTATGACCGCGAGGGAAGTGAGTGTGACAGTACTCCAAAGTTAAGGCATTTCCTGGTCAGAATCTCTCGATGCAAAACTGGAGAATCTACACAGAATTGTTCACATTCGCAAAGTTGGAACGCCGTATTAGGAGGAGGAGAGGAAAACGGTGAGAAACATCTGTGTGGGACCCTCTCCTCTCTTTACTCCCCCCCCCCTTTTCAAACAGCTCCCAGAAAACAAATGGGATAAGTACTACTAAGACTGTGCTCATACTTCGCGACTTGGAAATATTCGAGAATCGGCGATCCGACGTTTTCGGAGAATGCACGTAAAGGAAGTATTTGGGAAGAGACTAAGTCGCTAGGGACTACTAGGGTTAGAAGAATATGAGAAAAGACAAGTCGAAAGAACGCGTGCTAGCGAGTGGAATTGATCCATTACCATCTACTCTTTCGCGGCGCTCTCCTAGAACGTAGAAGGCAGATTCTACTACTCTCTCATGCCACCAGATTGAAAGACATACTTAAACTGGAGCGCACTCTCCCAAGACGTCGAATCGCGTGTTCTCCTATTCTCCCGCAAGGTAGGCAGCGTTCAGACTTCGCGATGACGCGCTACATAACAGCGTTCCAAGCTATAGAGGCGGACGCAGAGGCAGACCAGAATTTGACACCTCCCGCTTATGTGTAGAGGGAATTGCTCAATCGCTCATTGGTACCAAGCACTGATCACCAGGCCGATCCATTTCTGAAGTGTGAACTCCCGGGATAAGGAGGATCGAAACCGAAAAGTTGTTTCGGTGGAACTAGACATTATACTCCTACGCATGAGTCCATATCAAAAATGGAAGGAAATGCATTCAATAGTTTGACAAGGTAATATATTATATTATATTATAATAGTAAATTTTTATTTACTATTATATATTACAATATAATAGTAAACAAAAAAGAATATCGGGAGCACAAATAGCTTTTGCTTGTGGAAAACGAGTTATGCTAAATAAGAACAAAGTTACACTTACCACTCCATCAAGTTTCACAGATTTATTTACAGCAATCGATCTCATCATTCGTACAACATAAATTAACATTGAAAGACAACGGTGGACTATATTGCAACGCACCTGCAAAAATAAATAATGATTTGAGCACCCTAGCAAAAATTAGCTGAAGGTAGATACGAAACAAAAACCGGCGCAGTACAGTTTGGGAGGTGCGAGCGAAACGAAGTGAGCTAGATTGGTTATAGGAATTTTCACGCGGTAACCTGATAAACTCAGCTGAGACCATTTGATGTTTCCACCAACCTGAACTGCTCCCAAAAACCATTCAAGCAAGGGAATAAAACGATTTCTTCACCCTTACATTTTCTGAACTGCAATAATATAGATCGCAAACTTACAGAGGTGTGTATCAATCGCGATAGCCGCGGTAATAGCTCTTGAATGCCGGTATCCCTTTCTAGCGATTGCAAGGCTTGTTGTCGTTTCCGATCATCTTGACCTACACATGCCTCCACAATTTCCTTCAGGTAAATTTGCTGTTCCTGAAGCAAGACTGCTCACAAAATTGAATCAATGGATTAGACACAATCTTGAAGGGGTCAGACGACAACTATATAACCACTATGAAACAATGTACCTACAGAAGAAACGAAAATTCGAGGTCGAAAAAAGATATACGTACAACGGCTCCAGGAACGAAGGTTTGACCAATATTTGCTCTTTTTTGGGTATTCCTTGAGCAGCTATGCGGAACGAAACAGATGGTGCCGCAAGTTCAGCGGGGAGAGTGACTCTGGAACTACCAAGATATTTTTAAACCAACCTCGTTCTTCATGCACATCCTAGGGCACAATATGGTTATTCAGCGGATTGTGGTTCGGCGAGATGTCTCGCTCAGTACGCGTGGCCACCTTAGAAGACAAGGAGCGAAAATGCGCCCTATTACGTTCAATCCTACCTCACTTCTACAACTAAAACAATTCTGCCGTAGAGATTTCATCTTCGCTCTGGCTAGGTGCCTCAGGACCTTGCGATAGGAAATGTGTTGTTTTGGTAGACCCTCTGGTACTGATCCAGTTGAGTTATCTAGTATTTCTAGCTATTTCCCCCAACATGAATCTCCCACTGTCTCACTGAAATGTAGTAAAACCACAAATAAAACTCGGTAAGTCGCCAAATAGCATAGCAACTAGAACCGCTGTTAAAACATAAACGTAATGCAGTTGATGGCTTCGAGGTCATACTTTACCCAGACACGCAAGACTCAAAACCCGTTAGACGAGCTCGATGATCAACGCAAGCACAGGTGATATACCCAAAACAACCTATTTTCAACTAATAAACTACCTTTTCCTTAAAGCAGCTGGCAGATCAGTAGAAGACATCCCGGTTCCCTGACTGGCTTTCTTCGCCTTTTTCTCCTGAGGTGGTTCTTCCTCATTATCGACCCGTATCCAATGAACTGAACAAATTATTTAACAATATCATAATCATTACTCCTCATCAATTTAGAAAACCAGAATTGAATATCGAAAAGAGATTCTGAAAAGATGACACGGTGTACTATATGACAGGCAGAGTTTCCCTTGATGAAAACAATACTAGGGAGAATGTTAAGAAAAAAAGAGGCGTAAAATGAATGTCTGAATAAACTCAGTAGGGCTCTTACCTCTAATATGTCTCTTCACTGGGATTTTCGCTTGTGGAGGTTGCGCAATGGATTGAACATCAACGTCCATATCATCCCGTACATAGAGCTGCTCCCCTCCAGGCATACGAAGCTGCCTTATAGAAGGTTGCGAACGTGTCAGAGCTCCTATAGGCATCTTAAACAACAAGTGAAGATCATTGTTAGTCGAAGACAAAAACCTGGATGAATTACCGGAATGTTCAGTTCTCGAAGGGCATGTTGTACATCTTCCACCTTCATAGTCCTTCGTCGACCATGTACGGTAAATTTATGGGCAAGGAGTGAGCAACGAGACAATACTTGCGTCAGCTTTAATAATTGCAATTAGAGTTTTTGAATGTTCATGTAAACGAAAAGCTACGCTCTTCCCGCACACACCAACGCAGGGACAGCAGAGTAAAAGAAGGTACGCTGAAGTCAACACACTTAGCCACAGTTCTATTCTCGCCAAGGCAAAAACCCTGTCTTCGTGGAATTAGAAAAAAAAGTGGTGCCGGTACCAAAGTCACCCCCAGCTTTACGAGCTGGCAGATGAAGAACCTAGTCATAAGAAACATGTCCAAAAGTGGTAAAAGGATAAGTTCAAAAAAGACAAAAGGACCACTAATCCGGTGGTGGCGCGCAGAACCCTGGCTTGAGTTCTGCAGTCAATGTGCTAGGGCTACCGAAAGATGAACAACCTCTGTCAAAGAAGCTAGTTGGAGTACTAAACTGGGTCACTAACAAGATGTCTCAAGAGGTCGCTGACGAAATATAGCGCAGGAACATTCAAGTTCTAGCCTCCAAGGAACTTGCTGGAAAGGGGCCAAAGTGGGCGAAATCGGAGGAGGGATCAAACTCTTTCACAACGGAATGGGCACCTAAAGGAATGGCGTGGCCACAACGGAGGTGAGATCTCTGAAGAACTGCGTCTTTGCTGTCAACAGGATCACAGATGGGAATTAGAAGACTTATGTTGAAAGCAAACCAAGAAATTCCAATTCTAGAGCTCATGAATAATAGTCAAAGGCCTGCCACTGATAAATGTGAGCTCCTCTATTTGGGAAACCCAAAGCAGTCGACCAAAAGAGGAACTCTAAGCGCAGTAGGTACGAAGCATCCCGGAATGAATAGACATTTTTATGACACTGAGATGTTCTGGTACTCACCTATTACTACGCCATGAACTCAAAGAAAAAATGCCGAAATTTTGCCTGTACGGTTACACAATCACCCTAATCACGAGCATGACAGTCGTTTTGGATGCTGGCGTAATTTGACGTCACCACTTCTCTTACAAACATCGTTGTAAACCTGCATGCTAGGGTATTCGATGCCCTGGTCACAAGCATGACATCCATCTTCAACCAGGGAGCCATTTGGCGCCATTAGGCGCCGATGCGACCCTTTTTCACCGAAATCGATGAGGACTTGTTATAAGGTTATTTCATGCTTTCAACGCAGATAAGGCATTCCTTTTTGGACATCACTGCTATTTAGCGCTAACAATAAGGCTGGGCCCGGAAGGAGTCAGTCCCTCTCCAGGCTCAGTCTTAGAAAAGCACACATGATCTAGGGTTTTCCATTAGCGCTCAAAATGAATGTCATATTCGCAAGTGTCATTACTCGTATACAAGTTTCCATCGATTTTGGTGAACAAAGCTACATTTGTGCCGGTGGCTACAGCTGCATTGTATGGGTCTGGCGCCAGACATTTTCAGGCCAAGCGGATGTGACCCTTTTGTTGAGGAGATCGGACTACCTCTGGAAACAAACTTCGAGCAAAACCTGCCCTCACAGAAAAAAGTAAAAAAACTGCTCTGGTTTCAGAAGACCGGGTTGGTAGTTGAATGTGCCCAAGGTCTTATAGCCGGGTTAGTAGTTGAATGTTGCCCAAGGTCTTATAGCAGTTAAGACTGCTTACTTTGAAAGATACGCAAGAAAAAAACCAAATAATGAAAGAATGGGTCAAACGTGGAAAAAATACGATAACGAAACAACAAATAAGAACAAACAAACGAAGAGATAACTCACTTTATCAGCAAGGCATTGTAGAGCGGCCGGTGTGAGATTAACGACACCCACAGAATCGCCAACAATCTACAAAAGAGGGGTACACTAAAGCTTATATATTCAAAACCAAAAAACAACATTAACTTACTCTAACATATTGTGGTTCTATCCGAGGAGGTAGCGATTGAGAGAATGACGACGCACTCGCGCTGTGTGTAGCCATCATAAACGTCTCATTAAATTAATTGTAACACAGAGAATGGCCAATACAGTCATTTCAGAAGCTACTACATGCAGCAACAAAGCTCAGACGTTCATCACTTCCGGAACAAGCTTCAAAAGTGTGTGACGACAATTTCCATGAGCTATGTGTAATTGCGACCGAAAAATTTCTGGACGGCAAACGCGGAGCTTCGTTTCGTTTTTGCATTTACGCTCACTTTTCCGTTTGGTGAATTCTCTAGAGTACTTTCACTTCTTTTCGCTTTGACTTCCCCTAACTCTTACGCTCTTTGCTGAATTTGCACTGCCGAACCACAAACGAAGAGGTTCCTTTATTTTGCTTAGCTGAACTTGAGTGTTCTGCGTTCTTTATCTACGGAGCTGCTTGCAAAATATGCTTTGTAGAAGTACACTGCCTTTATCCTTGTTCCTTAATATCTTTTCCCCTGTTTCGATCTTTTGATCAGGATTGTACCCCACTTTTTTGTCCATAGTAGCACGAATGTTTCGAAATGGCGCAAACAGGAACGAAAAAAAACCCCAAACAAGCAAAAAACAAAAACCCTAGTCCTAGTCCTAGAAACAAAAACCCTAAACCTAGTCCAAGCGAGTGGAAAAGACAAGGTGAAAATAACTTGCTAAGTGCTCGAAAATAGAAAAAGGTTGTGATGTCAGTCTCCGTAAGGGATCAGGCGCTAAAAACAGCTGAACATCGTGACCAATTTGTTAACAAATCCCAGATTAAGTTTCAGCTAAGAGATTCTTTATCCTCTTTCTAATTTGTATTACTGGTTTAGTGCAGCTCCTTTCTATGAGATTCTCGCTTCAAAAGGGCAAGAGAACTTGTATCACAATATGAAAGACTACGCTCTAGTTCGCTGCGGACGGTTGGGCGTGTCAGGCAGGTGTGTCACCCCGTCAAAGCCGTTCTCTGCCTTCTTGCTGAAACGCGCATGCGACAAAAAGTGGTAGAAAACGAGTAATACGAACGATATGATACAGTCATATCACTTGCTCGCTTTAACAACTGGTGGAACGGGTTTGGCACCGCGCCAAACTCATCCCGCCTGACACGCCCAACCGTCCGCAGCGAACTACACTATACTTATGATGCCAGTGAACTGCTTCAAAATGCATCCCTACTTCGCGTTCTAGTCACGATGGTCGCGCGAGCGATAAGAAAGAAAGAGATTGCGTGCTTTGTGTTAGCGTTTTGAGGGTACGCCAGCGTTTTCAGCGGCTAGGAAAGGATAGGTGTGGGTCTAGCGTTTCGAGGGACTAGTCGCCGGAAACGTTATTTGCACGCTCAAAACGCTGATGCAAAGTATGAACGCTTTCTGAAGCCAAGTAAGAGCGTCAAATCACCAAGTTTCGAGCCAATCGCTCGCGCGAGCGATTGGTTCGCAAAAGTGAATGCACCTTAAGATAATAAGTAACATTTGATACACCATCATTTTCCTCGCAATTATTTCAAGACTTATACGCGAGCTCTTTGTTGTGTAGAGAAGTTCTTAACGAATTTCTCCGGTATATAGTCTCTACTTATTATACTACAGCTCAAGCATATGTTTTAGGTCTCTGCATGACTGACGTCTGGAAATCACAGGGCCGCAAATTCTGCGAAATTTGCAAGGTATTCAATTTTTTTTCAGATATTTTTGGGACTTTCGATATCCTGATTTTTCGCAGCTTTTAAGCAATTGTTACGCCATACATTCTGAAGTATTTCGCTTTCCAGCCTTCTGCCCTCTGTCTTTGATCCTGTGGCCCATAAGCTAGTGTTCATTTAGGTATGGTTGGGGCAATGCGTGCTTAACAATCGATTTCCATGAGCGAGGTAGGAAACATAAGGATGCGCTGGCCGCAAAACTGCGCGAGCTCGGCCGAGCAAGTCGTGAAAAGAGAGAAAGAGGTGAGTCCTAAAACTTTATTTTGTTAACTACTTATGTTAGTTTTAACATCGTTTTTCGAAGTTGTATTTCAAGTTGTATTTAGCAAGCACGGATGAGCACCGCTCTGGCAGCTATGGAAGCTGCAGCCCTCAAAGCTATGAGGGAAAACGGAGAAGGAATAGAGCAAGGACCGGCACTACCTTGTTAGTTTATTTTTCAATTCGATTTATTTCTACTTTTGGTTCATACCGTAGAGCTTGTCTGTGATCTGAAAGAAAATAAGTTTGGATCTCAAATAGCCGTGTATGATCGGAATTTAGCAACTGGATTGTCGTCGAAGATCTTTGACCCAAGGCAGCTGAAAGATGTCGGGTCTTTTGCACGCGAAATGGCGAAACGTAAGAATGAAATGGCAGAAGTTAGAAATCAGAAGCGGGTAAACTGGTGCTTATCTCTTTGAATTCTATTTAATAGTTTCCACCTCGTTGTTCAGCCAGCGCAACCTTCAGTTGCCTCGATGTCATCGAAATACTTCAAGAAAGAGGTTCCACAAGTTGTGGACTATTCAGGTAGAGTTATGTGATGCTTTTTGGCTTGCCCGAACCCCTCAGTTCATATGTTTTTCAGAGTTCACAGTCCCATTAAAAAAGGAAGAGGTTGAATCAGTTACGCCCACTGAAATCGTTTGGGCAGAAGCTGATGCTGGTGATGGCAGAAGCTATTACTTTCATTTGTACACCGGAGGTAATCTGCGATTCTTTTGACCGAGTTGCCTGACTTCAAAGATAATTCAGAAGTACTTTATTGAAGAGTCGACATGGGAACAACCAGCGGCTTTTTATAATAAAGAGCAATACGCCGCCTTTACTGCAAAATACTGATAGTTCATCGATGAAGATGGAGGTCCCTACAATGAAAGAAGGTGCGTTGAAAGCGGCTCCTGTTTAATCTAACTAACATTAAAGATTTTTAAGAAGAAGTCCCGACGAGTGTCCCTGATAGTCATGGCGCTACCTCGGACAACGTGCCGCAAGAGGAGGTAGTCACACCGAAGGTTAAATCCGAACCTTGTGAACAAGAAGCGGCCAATGTTCCTCATGAACTTTGTGACATACCGTTACCAGAACCTTGTGAGTTTTTTTTGTAGGTTCAGCTTCTCCTTGCTTAGACCGCATACAGGCTTCGCGATCTGATAGTTTCGATCGTGCGATACAATCGCTCAAGTGTCTGGATCGCGTGATCGGATTACTCGAGCGTTCGTGCCATGATGAAGGGGGGGGGGGCTCCACCCCCAAACGGTGCACCGCCAACAGCAGAATTCAAAGTGAGCCAGCTCCACACACTGCGCATTTGAAATCTGCCGTGCAGCGTTGCACCGGTTGGAAGTGGAGTTCCCGGTCATAATCGCGCGATCCAAACGCTCGAGCAATCCGATTGCGTGATCGGAACTATTGGATCGCGATTCCGAAAGCAGTGTTATAGAACCATTTGAATTTTGCGGTGATTTTCATTTATTTTGACTTATGTAATCAAATCACATGTAAGGGGTAATTTTCAATCTAGTAACTATAACAGGAATCCGAAGATCGGTAAACCACTATAACGATAACTCTGTAACAGCCGAATTTCAGTTATAGTGATGCCAGTAAAAATTTTGATGGGGAACGGACACATAGGTGATCTAAGAACAGCTCAAAAGTGTTGACTTTCATGAGGCTCTTGTTGTAGGGTCTGGAATGACTCTGTTATCCACTGGAATTTGCAGTTTTAAAAAGCACTTTGCTCTCTTCTTGACATTTGTGCTTATAAATTGCCAGTTTGGCTGACGCGCACAACTGCCGCATGGTTTACTATCGTACTGTCAGAATTTCTGTGCTGCCCCGCTAACACTTGGCCTGACTCTCGTTTTTCGAAAATCGGCCCATTTCATCATATTTATCCTCCATTTGCCAATGTCTGGTGCTTATCACATTTCTAAAAACACAGACCATTCGTTGGGAATAGAACAGCTTAGCGGTTGAAAGAGTTTCGATGGTAACACTATCAAAATCTTGGCGAAAACTTCTTTCATCCGGGCGCTTCCCTTGAGCAGCTTTTACGAATCCATCTGTTGGTTGCTCTTATCATCATTGGCAGACAACTTTAGGCTTTTACTTTTTGTCAAAACTCGAGAAATTAGCGGTCGCATCAATTCCGACTATATCGCTAAAGAATAGAAACATTTTTGCTCACTTAGCCTTTGCCCACTGAATCTTGGGCCACTGCGGTCAATATCAGTCGCAAGCGGTGCAAAAATGCGAAAAGATACTGACTCTTGTTGGACACTATATCACAACTTATCTCCCACCACCAATGTTCCCTAACCACTTCTGAATTGCTATGGTATCTTATTAGCTGTTATAACTTCCTGCCACCCACCGTGTTCCCATCCTGCCCCCTATCTTTCTACTTGGAACCGAAGTCCCCTCGTTGCTGTGGCCCGCGTTATGTAGTTGATGACCCTCCCTTTTTGAGGCCCCTTATGGTATCTTATCAGCTGTTATCACTTCCTGCCACCCACCAATAATGTTCCCATCCTGCCCCCTATCTTACTTCTTGGAACCAACGCTCTAGCCTTGCTGTGACGCGCGTTATGAAGTTGATGCCCCTCCCTTTCTAAGGCCCCTTATGGTATCTTATCAACTGTTATCACTTCCTGCCACCCACCAATAATGTTCCTGCCCCACCCCTACATCACTTATCAATTTGAGCGCTTTATCGCTGTTTTGAAGAAAGTTATGATTTTCCGGTCAAAGAAACGTACAGACAGACAAACAAACATACACACACCAACAAACAAACTTAGCGGTTTTTATATAGTAGGATCGGGGCTTATCTTACCTTTACTGCCCTACTCGAAACCTTGATCACTTTTCGATCAAAATCTTTCTGTTGAGATAGATCTGGTCAAAACATCGTTCTCGTGGGTATTTGTGTCCCGGAGTACATTTATCGCGTCTGCGTGAAGTGGAAGCACTTGCAGCCCGTGCTAGTGGCGCTAGTGTCAGAGGCTGGTCTCGGCGCCTCAAGCAGTAGCGCACTCAGTGTATATATACGTAGGTGTATTCGCACGCGCAAAAGTAACATTCATATTCTAGGGGTAACACTACCCCTAAGACAGGTTCTTGACACCTTCGGTGTTTTGAGATGTTTTGGCGTCGCCTGGTGGTTCCGAGTCAAACGGCCAATCTACCGGGGTGAAGTTTCAAAATTCAAAACTGATTTCGGTCAGAGGGGCAGCAAAGTGTAGCGGTGGCAAATTCTCTATCATCGATGACTCCACATGTTTCAGCGTGCAAGGACCGAAGTGCTACTCCAACCGAAGTGCCTTCTATGGAATCAGCAAATACCAGTACGATTGGAGATACCCCATCGGAGGCTGTCGCGCAACCCGTTGTTCGTCCTGAAGCGGTTCGTTCTTCATTTGTGTCCTAAATGAAAAGTTAACATCTTGATTGGGTTCAGGTCAAAACTGAAGTAGAGGAAAAATCTCCGGTCCAATCGCCACCAACTGAGGCAATGCAAGTGGAAGAACCAGTCGAAGAGGAAACTCCCACGCAACCAGCCGGTCCTTTAGGGTCGTGGACGCGAGTTAAGAAGGTTGACAGGTAATCCAGGCACTAAAACCTTTTTTTCACAGTTCATGTAATCGTTAGCAGAATACATTTGTTTTTCACAAATTATGAAGTCATTGTGTTCAGTGGACCAGTATTCTCGCCTCTTACTGCAAAGTATCGCGCAGAAGAAGAGCGACATCGAAAGGAGGCAGAAGCACGAGAAAAGCAACAAGAGAAGTTGGAACCCGTTGTATTCACAGAAAAGACTAGCGCTGTGTTGACGAAAAAGGTAACTATCGCACAGGTTTATATTGCTGTAAAATCTGTAAGAATCAACTGTTCCGTTTTCTTCAGGTGAAAGGCCCAATCGAATTCAAGAAAAGATCGGCTGCAAAGAGTGTACGGCAACGGACGCAATAGCTTACTAGATAGTATCTTTAGGTTTATGCATGTTGATCTTACCACAGAAAATTAGTAATTTGATATATTTACCTCCTCGTTTGCGGAACATAGCAATAGTAGAGTAAAATGCATTTCATATTGATTAAATGTTGTCTTGTTTTTGTTACTTGTGCAGTTGTGACAAAGCCCTTCGCTTATATGAATGCTTTGCTTCGTCATAATGAATATGAACGGGTTGCCTTGTATCCAATGTTTGGGGATGAAGCTCCTTATATGCTGTTGATTCTTTGACATTACTGCCGTCACCATCTGAGACTGCCAGGTTAGGCGGAGTCAGGAAACACTGTCACTGACGCAACTTTTATCGCCTTCTGTGGCGTTGAAGTCGAGACAAGGAAGTGCTTGTCAGTTACCCCGTTTTCTGGCGCCGCCCACCCTCGGAAACTCGTAACTGTATCACGAAATCGCAGTGTTACGTTCAAGAGAATGGATGAGGACGATGATCTATTTGGCTCAGACCTCGACGATGACGATAAAAGAGAAAAGGGAAGTCCTGAAGACAAGAAATTCTTCTTCAGAAAAGAACTTCGTTCTATGCTTTACGGTTTTGGAGATGACAAGGTTGGTAGTATAACAGGAGTTTTATTATCGTTCTAGGTTTTTTGACGATTTTTTGCCTTTCTTTGAAGACACCGTTCGCGATAGCCACGGGCGGAGTTAGGGAGCGACCACTGGCGCGTCCCTCTTCTTTCCACGTTCTTGGTCTAGAAGGAGGGTAAGAGGAGGGAAGCGCTGAGTCGCGCTACATCCACACTCTCGGCAATCTCGAATGGTGATTTCAAAGACGACAATGTCAGCCGCCGTTGGCTCATAAGTTCTGCTCTCTTTCTGCTGTAAACGCTGTTTTTAAGATGTTGCCTTATTGTTGGTTAATGTGAATATCCCTCTGCGGTAAGCAAAAGGAATGCTTCATTTTCAAAAATATATTTTGCATTGCAAATTTGGCATCACTGCCTCAACACATAGCCAACCAATATATTAAGATAGTTCCTCACTGAAACCCGCCAGAATTTGGCGTCTTTCGTGGGACAAGAATATAGTTACTACTTATGTTACATAAGGACGACCGTTGTTCAGACACGCGCGGGGCTCCCAACTTTTTTTTCCCATTGTTCTCTGTCCTGAGCCTTGCTTGACAAGAATATAGCACTAGTTTTTAGTGCAAGAGCCTACAAGCGCTTATTCGCCATTAGCGCCGTTGTCACCAGAATAGATACAAATTTATATACTCGGATTATTTGGAGTTCTAGTTACGAATATAGCTTTCTTTTTCTAGCAGCGGTGCCATTTTACTATCACATGCGCCAGTCTTGCGATCAACCTTGTTTGGCGACGAAGAGACTAGCATTGCTGAATTTGGCAGTCACCATCAAGTGCACGCTTGCGCAAAGCCACTGTGGGTTGAGCTTCTGCGCGATACATTTCGTGGTGGATGAGCGGGCGCCCGTTGAAAAAGGTCCCGAAAGTCGGATATATGCTATGAATCTCAAGAAAAGTGGGTGAAGTTATCAGTCGGCCCTTGTCAGTTAGTGTATGTGGGATGAATTGGAGAAGTGCAAAAAAAGTCATATAGACAGAAGGTATGAAGTAAAATTTGTAAATCACGATCACGCTGACGGGGGTAGAGATGGGATGGGCGGCTATACGATGTTTCCTAGTGTTCCTTACGATGTTTCCTATGTTTCCTATCAGGGATTTAAATCGTGGTGGTTCGCACGCGATTGCTTAATTGCTTTACGAAAGATACGTAAAGCAAAAAAATGCTGTCCACGAAGGACAAGAGTTTAAGCTCATTGCGGGCACAAGAATACTTGTCCTAGGCGGTGATTTCTCAAAAAAATGTGATTCACGTTGTTTTGACCATTTTCTGACTCACATTCAAACAACATTCAAGTACATTCTTCAGGTGCCATATGACAAAACCCTCGAGACCCTAGAAGGAATAGTTTTGGACTACATTAAAGAGCTATGCGAGCGAGCAATGAATGTGAGACATTTCGTCTTGAACACAGTTTTCTTTTTTCTGTTTTTAATTCTATATTCGCGATATGCATACATGCGTTACTCACGGTTCAGGTTGGAAAACCGGACAAGATTGCGTTAGAGGATATCCATTACCTGATCAGACGAGACCCAAAGAAATTTGCTAGAGTTAAGGTAAGTATCTTATAGCAGCCCCTGCGAAACACTGCTCTGGAATCTCGGTTTTCAGGATCTCTTATCGATGAGTGAAGAGCTCAAGAAAGCGCGTAAACAATTTGACGACGTGAAGCAGTTATGAACTGTAGGACCGGATCGAAGTTGTAATTGGCGCTTTTGTTGTATATAGTCTGTAAACCTCTACAGGTTGTGCTCCATAAACTTTTCAGAAAAAAACTTTCACTAACCTACATAATAACTATACTATAGTGAAATTAGTCTAGACAGAGCCTCCATGAGTCTTGACAGCCCATTTCCTTGTTGAAGAAACAGGGCAAAAAAAGCAGGGCAGGGCAGTCCATCGTACCTCTACAATGAGTGCAATCTATTGTAGAGGTACGATGGACTGCCCTGCCCTCCAGTATGTAGTCCGTGATCTCCGCATTTGCAAACTAAAACACGAGGGCAGCTTACCTCTCGCGTATCCCGCTCTTCTCAGATTGCACGAGCGACTACACGTCTGGTATCCCCTTAACCAATTGAGTGCATCTCTAGCGTTGTGCTCCTTTCCAGCGTTGATCCTCACTCCATAGGCCGGGCCCGCAGGCGACAGACTAATCCTCTCCTCGCCTGGTTCCGACCCTGTGGGTAATTTGCTTCTTCCATGCGAGTCATTAACAACAAACTCCTCCTCCAGAATCCTTGCGGTTTGTTTGTTACAGAAACATGGTGTAAGCCCTTCAAGATTAGTAATAGTACACTCTCAGTTGAGCATCCCTACATTGTGTACCGTTGCGATAGAGATGGATACTCCGGGGGCTGGTTATGGCCATGATCAGGGACGATATATCTTCCTCGCTGATATCATCCATTTGTTTTTCGGTCTATCTTCAGTGTATTGTCTTACAAATATCCCTTTTCAGCAATGACTGCATTATTCTTCTCTTGCTACCAAAGTCGGTTCATTGCCTCCAGCTACGATGTCCAAAAAACTTCTCTATATTGAAGAACTATGTCTAAATAGACCCGGGGGTTATCCTGGGTGATTTCAATTTCTTCGATATCCGGTGGTCTCGCTTATCGCAGAGTCTGAGCAAAAGCCGCCTCAGTAGACAAGGTTCTTTCATAAATTTCGTTGAATCTCACAGCTTCACGCAAACAGTTCTTGAACCCACCATGGCCGTAACATTTTGGACCTTGTTTTGACGAATAGTCCTCACATCATTGGCAGTACATCAGTACATCCCTTCTCCACATCAGACCATGCTACGGTGACCTTTACTCTATCGACCATTCATTCCCAACCTGTCTCTAAGCCTATTCTAGATTTCGCTAAAGGGGATTATGAATCCATATGCCGTCACCTTCTCGCTGTAGACTGGCAAAGTATCTTTAACTCTATGGGATCTATCGACGAATGTTATTTATTCTTTACCAACTTTTGCCACTCTCTTATATGCCAGTTCGTTCCGCGCGGTCGTAAAACTAAGGGAGACTTCCACGTGCCCCGCTATCTACAAAATATCAAATCTCGAAGTTGAACGGTTATTCAAGAATGGTAATTATTTGCGCAATCCACAATACCTGTATTTGTCCCGCTTACTTAAAAAGAATTTAGCAAGGCTTAAACTCAAGCATGAGGAGCGCATAGCTTCCTCTAAGAACGCTAAGAGATTCTGGAGCTACTGCAATTCTAGATTAAAGGAGTCTTCATCAATCAGTGCTATCGTGTCGTCTACTGGTTCTGTGTGCACATCTGACTATGAGAAGGCTGACCTTTTTGCTACAGTCTTTGAGACTTTTTACAAAAAGGATGTTACTCGGACAGTAGACGACTTAGACGGCTCACAGTTGACCGGACAGACTCTTGATTGGGTGGATATCAATTACGAAAATGTTTTCCGCACCCTGAATAAGCTTCCTCTTCGATGCTCTACTTCACCTGATGGGTTGCCGTACATCTTTCTCAAGAAATCTGCTGAAGCTATCACTCCTGCTTTGACTCATCTTTTCCGCAGAATACTTTTGAGAGGGGAAGTGCCATCCATCTGGCGTCTGGGACTGGTTAGGCCAACGAGAAAGGAGCAGAGTGATTCAAGAACTCTAGGCCTGTGTGTCTCACTCTCATGGAGCAAAGTAATGGAGAGATTGTTGTGGCGCCAATGCGGCTTCCTTATATCGAGAAATCTTCTGTCACATTGCCAGCATGGGTTTCTCCCAAAGAAGTCTACCACAACAGCACTTCTTTCGGCTATTCCCGCTTGGCAGTACGCCATTGATAAAAAGGAAACTGTGTTTGCAGCCTACATTGATTTTGCCAAGGCCTTCGACTCCGTTCCTTTGCAACTTTTGTTTCTAAAGTTAAAACAGTTCGGCATCACCGGATGTCTTGCGAAGTTCATACATAGAATCCTTCCTCTGTAACAGACACCAGAGGGTTGTCCTCGACGGTTCATGCTCCAGAATCTACCAGACCGAGAGTGGCGTTCCCCAAGGCTCTTGTCTAAAACCTC